ACCAAAGCATCAATGGGCCATCAACGCTCCTCTCACACCAAACCCAAAAGACAGCACACCCCCCGAAGCTACTGGGAAGAAAGTTAACTCTGTCCCAGCCAGAACCAGGACAATTTGCATCTGTCTTCTTTTAACATTTTTCTTACAGCAAATGCTGCTTCTCTTCCTAAAGAGGATGAACACGTCCTATGATTTCCACCAATGGAAAAGAGCTTATCTGCTTGTGATTGCAATATGATACTGTCAAATAGCTGTATTTTCAGAGAATAGAGAGTCGTCTGTACTATTCCAAAATATTTCAGAAAACCAAGGGGCTAGCAAGACAGTTATTCTATCGTAAACTCTAGCCTCAAACTATGCATAAGTATTTATTATGTGCAAGTACTGTAATCTTAGTTTATTCTTTTCCAAAGGTGGAGGAAGTCTCACAATAGCTGCATATTCACACACACTTCTTTACAGTTATCTCATTGTCTTTAAATGGTTTGTGTTTTAAAAAAAACTGTCAAAGCAGTTTTGGGACTGTATTGTGTCTTGCTATATTCTTAAGAATTGCAGGTTAGCATTGATTTCAAGTGTCCAAATGCAGAAACATCCTACAGTTTGAATTATAGCTAACCTATTTAAACCCTCCCACAATCTCCCACCATACACAACACACACAACCAAAAAAAAAAAGTCCCACAAAACACAAAAAAGCAAACAAAAAAGCTACAAAAAAAATCCCAAACCAAAACAAAAACAAAATGCACCCGAAAGAAAAAAGAAACCCCCCAAAACAAGCCCCCTCAAAAGCACCCACATCATTTAAAATATTGATCCTTCCCAATTCAGTATGCCACTCTAATAACTCATTATTCCTCTTCAAAATACCAAGAGAAAGATTTTCATTCTCTGATAAAAACACAAATCCCGAATACAGTAAGCTTCCACTGTATCCTAGGGTAGGTAAGCAACTTGCTTAGAAACACCAGACTTAAGTCAAAACTGTTCTTATTTTCATCATCTTCAAGTTTTAATGACCTAAACAAGCAGAGAAATCAGATTTTCATCAATTTTAATTTGAAATATCAGTGTGAGTAATATTTATGCAATGCATTGTGGATGAGCAAGCCAGCAAAGAAAATGCTGTCCAGTAAGAATGTGAAATCAGGATTTAGAGCTATATACTATGCTGACTGGTTTACAGTCTGTCATTAAGGACATAAGTGTATGGAGTAAAAGGACAGGTGTTTCCTCACAGCTGATGAGTAATGAGTTCACGGAAATAAACAGGAAAGCAAGTCAACTGCTGGCACTTTTTCTCCTGAACTTCTAAACCAGATTTTAGAAGTAAAGCAAAGCACACTAGCTGGATGAAAATTTAATATTAAATGTATTTCATTCTTTACAGTATTTCCTGCATTATTCTAGGCTATTTAGATTACTGAAGTACACTTATGATTTCTGAGCACTATGCAGCAATGTTGTAAATGACATGGCTAGCACCTATCGTGTAGTTTCTCCTCCTTCTCTCCCTCTTGCCTCAAAGGAAACTCCATATTGATTTTAAATGATGATGTGTTGTGCATTTTTATAACCCTGCCTCAAGCATGCATGGCCAACTTTAAGAAAGCATTAAGCAAATTTCACTATTAACTGAGAAAAGGTTTACTACAATAAAAAGTTTCTCTCAACTTTTTCTTGACTCACATCTTCTTCTATGATAGAAACTGTAACCATTTAAGCAGCAGTTAAGGGAGGGCAGAAAAAGCACACATGCCCATCAGTCTAAACCAAGAACAGCCTCGAGGCAAATACTAGCTCAAATTGCGTCCACAGAAACGTTATGTTGCAAGTTAGATATAAATAATATTCTTCCAAAACGAACAAATAGTAACCTGAAGATACTTCTAGTTTATGACAGCAGCTCAAGTCAAAGATGAACTATAACAGGGATTGACTCTGTATATTAAGTATTTCAGACTTAATATCATTTTTTAGAGATACGTAGTTGCTTCAGTTTGGACTGCTTTCAATGTTTTTTTTTCCTCCTCATTAGGTGGAAGGTCCAGTGCATTAATTCAGGAATTCACACAGTGTAAAATATTAATTTCATTCTCCCCAGAACTTTCATAAAAGAAGAGAGAAGTAAGCTGCTTTCAACCCAATGAATAATAATTTGAGGGAAAAAAAGTAAGACTACAAAAGAAAAAAAAAAATCTGTTTTCACAACCTCTTAGCCAATAGTTTCCTCAATTATAACCTACACAAATTGGTCTCTTTTTTAAAAAGAAAAGCCACTAACCCCCACACTTGCCATACATTTTATGGAAAAACAAGGCTGAAGCAAATTAATATTTAGGAAATACCACAATTTCTAGAAAACACAGATGAAGTAAGAGAAATTCCAAACAAATGACCTCCAAGAGTAGACTACATAGTATGAAGCATTTAAAACCAGCTTGCAAGTGACAAAGCTAATCCTACAGTAACAATCTCTCTCGGGAAGAAGTCTGGCAAGCCACTATTAATGAAGATGCTGAAATCAGGAGGGCTTCTTCATCACAACAAATTCTCTCTGTTGTATGGTTATATCCTAAGTAGGGTTACAATAATTGCTCAGATAATTGTAAGTAACACCAACAGTGTTTCTATAATTTTCCATGTACTTGAATTCCATAACCATAGTGGTAGTCCAAGGAGGAATTATTATCAGTTAAATATACGACCAATTTGGTAATATGGGCAAAAAATACATACCGAAAGAAATGTTTCAATGTTATCATGAACAAATGATGCAACATCTTGCCAGTCCAGAATATCACCAAGCCAGCTGTTTTGACGGTTTATGTGCCATTTGTGTCCTTTGTGTCTTCCAGAATGTGTTACATTCTTAAAAAGAAAGACAAAGACGTAAAGAAACCAGACATTTGAATAACTTACAGAAATGAGAAAGCCGAAGACTAATGTTTTCTGAACAAGGAACAGATCCAACATGCATCCAAATACTTAGAGCTGCTTTAACTGGCATCCTCAAATATACCTGGAAATACTCTGTTCACTGGAAAAATTAAAATCTCACAGAAAACCGTAGTTAATTATCCCATATAATTAACAGTTCTGTATATTGTACTGATTCCCCTCAGTTAAACATTAGCTTTACTGCTTGACTGATACAGTGGTAGCTATCTTGCTCTTTATAAAAGCACAGAAAAAAGAGGTAATGATTTCAGTTACTGCCTACATAACTTACTGTTTGCAACATACAACTTTTCCCCGTACAATCCACAAAGGAAAATACAAACAGAAGCCAAAACAACTAGTTTTCTCACAATTAGCGTCTACTTCTCCACTGGCAATAGAGAAGTCATGCAAAAGCTAAAAGCTAAACTGGAAGCATGGGGGATTTCTTCTGACGACGCAGCTTTGTAACTGCAACACAGCAAGACAACAGGAAATGGCCATAACTGCAACTGCTAATTCCTTAAGTGGCTTCACCCTAATTATGAAGTTGCCTATTGTCCAAATGAATCACACTGATGACCATCTAGCATGAGACTGTTCGACTCAAGTCTGGGACTGTGACAAGTGTTTCAGAGAAGGATGCCAAAATTCTACTGTAAGCAAGTCTAAGCAAACCCGTTGACTACAACAGATCTCATCTTAATCTTTAATAGCAACAGACTTCTCAAGTTCTCAACTCTGGTGTTTATATAAGCATCCCACTACTTCTGTTAGAATTTTCCAAAAACCTTTAACCTTACTAGCCTGCATTCAAAATAACAGCATCTTTTTTGGCATACATGGTAAGTAGTATTCCAAGTGAAGTCCCTGCACTGATATATCTAAGAGCATTACATTTTCTGCTTATTACCCATTCTCCCTAGATGCAGTTACACTTTATGATGCACAATTAGCAACGTTCTTTAACAATCCACAGCAACACAGAGATCTTTCTCCTGAGCTGGCAGTTTATTTAGAGCAGAAATGTATGAGGAATCAAAAACCTCCCTCCAATAAGCCTTTTGTATTTGTGAACTGTATCAAGAACCTATTTTCTGTTCAACTAGTACTATTTTCAAAGACAGCTCTCGCCGTTAACGAGCAGAATTAGGCATCATTTGGAAATTCTGTAACATTGTTATTCATACACATTTCAAGTTCATCGCTATTCAGCAACTATACTGTTGTAGCACCTAGGCCTCAGGTGTTGATAAAGAGAGATTCGAAGAAATTGTCAACTGGTTCCTCTTCAACAAATTCACTAGGTCTTAAAAACAAAAGAAAATCCCATACCTGAATGGACTAGGAAGACGAGATTCTTGTCCTTGAAAAAGACACCTTGAATGCAGAGTTATGCCATCATCTTCCAAGCTGTTTATTATTCTGTTACTATTTTACTTCATTGGGTACATAGACTCAACGGTAACTGATTTATCACAACATCTCTAGAATCTTTAAAATATACACCATTTGCTACCTACTAGTCTTCTCAGAAAGTAGCAGTTAATGGTTGAACACATATTTCGTCGGCAATTCTTCCTCAATTCTACAGCTTTCATGGAAGAGTATCACCTGAGCCTGGGTTCTTCAGTCACCTACAGACTAGAGCAACACTATGCAGGCCTCAAAATGAAGTGTAATTATTATGCTCATATAACTGACATGGTGGGGAGCTTGAAAGCTGTACTGAGAGAATTAGATATGGTACAGATGTCCTCTGCACTGCACTATCATCTAGTTTACCAGTTTTCAGATACACTGAAGGACCACGCAAGGCTACTGTAATATTACAAAAGGAAATAGCCAGGTGGAAAGCACTCAGATGAGACATTTATGTGGATATGGACTGCGACAGAAGGGGCGAGATTAGAAATAGACTCCGGAGGAGTTACCTGAAGCCCGCAGATAATCGGTTGCAGCCCAGCATGCCAATGGCAACATAGGGTGTCTAGTATGCAAACAGCAGCCAGGGGAACAGACTTCAAGATTGTAGGCAGCGAGGATCAGTGCGTTCCTGAAGCTCTTTCTGCCACTTTGATTGCTAGGAAAGCTGTTTCTTACCCTATCAGAAGAACATCTACAAGAAAGCCTCATAGTATTCCCTCAAATAACAGCTGCAGGAAAGATACCACATAACACAACAAACACACACAACCTGTGCTGCATGCTGCAGCAACAAAATTACTCCTACAGCACATGTAGTGACACAGAGCACCACTGAACGATACAGTGCTATGGACCATCTGATACACAGGTCACATTAGTAAAAGCAACAGGTTTATCAGTTTAACTGTATCAAAAGTAGGCGCTTTTCCTGGTCAAGCATTTAACACTGAATACTCCCAAGTGCTTAAGGCCAGCAAAACCTATCGTAGATACAGCTTTAATTTCTCCTCAGTGGTCCCTTATTGCTCAACAGCATCATGTTATCTCTCCACATGCTTTTTCTACAGCATTATCTTGTCAGAAAAAGAAACTGATTCTTTCCCCTTCTACTTTGACTACTATAAAGAAACTCTTACTTCTTTTAATACAGAGATATTGGAACTTTAGGGGTACTTTAAAAATGACTGTATAAAGAAAACTGTTAATATACTATAATTGCAATTATTTAAATATACAGAAGTATTTCAGGCATATGACTTCTGGATTTTGGTATTTCCATTGCACCATAGCTAATGAATTGCTTTTTCTTTTAAAATGCAAACTGCACTGGCTGCATAAAAATGATTTAACTCTCATGAACTTTTCAAGATTCAGTGTGGAGAACCCATTATAGGAAGGCTAGTACAGTTGGCAAAAATGCATTGTAAGAAACTGAGTGAAAGGACAATTTCTTTCTCAAAATTTCAAATTAATGAAAGTTACACAAGTCATGCAGAATACCAGTTTTCTTCTCCTAACCCTTCAAGATCATGAAAATTCAACAGAAAGCTTTAAACTATGAAATACTAAACATAAAAAGTGAGCAAACCGAAAATTAAATGGCATACACAAAACCAAACGTAACTGCTTAAGTGAAGGACTTATAGCTCTGAATGTACTCAAACTGTGACTGTAGAATGATCTATGTTACACACTTGAAATTTTTACCAACTTTTTATTATTATGACCTTTACTCAGCATTCCAACTTTTTGCTAATCTCTTTCTCAGAAATGCATACTTAGCAAAATTATCTCAAAGCACTAAGTGATAGTTTATATAAATACCATTTAAGTAAGTTACCCACCTTCACAAACCAAGAGTGATAAAGCCTGTCCCAGAGCTCTAGCACTTGTTTTTCAATCACAGCGGTGTTATTCACTTTTTCTCCTAAAATCTTATGGAGCTAAAACATATAGAAATCTTTTATTATACAGGACAGAATGAAGTTGGCATCTACTGACGAACTCCAAGCTAGATGAATCACCTAAAATTGTCAGTAAAGGCATGGCTCAAACCCAAATTATTAGAAAAGCTGAGTATCAGTATGGAATACACACTTCAGACAACATGGTGCACAACATGAAGCTTTTGTCTGTTAAAAAAAAAAAACAAAAACCAACCAAAAAACCCCAAACAAACAAAAAAACCCCCCAAACAAAACAAAAAAATCAAAAAAAACCCCCCAAAAAACCCCAAAATTCTGCTGCACTAAGCTGAGCACTTTTTTCTACACTGAAAAACCAATGCCGTCTCTAAAATGCTTAATCCAAAATCCTTGATCATCTTTAGAGTAAATATTTCAAATAATTTGAGATGTGTGCTATATATCAAAATGTATAAATTAAGAATCTTGGCAAATTCTCCTCAAGAAAGTTAACTTAAATAAATAAATTGTAATTAAAAAAAAAGAAAAAAAAAATCCATTCTACCACAACCAGCTGACATAGAAATTGGAATACTGGGAGGGGGGGAAGTCTACATTGTCTACAATTGGACAGCTAAAGCCAGATAAAAAAACCACTCATCTTTATTTGATGCATTTTCACTAGCAATCTTATTAAAGTAAGAGCTGAAAAATCTGTCAGCAAAACCAAATATTCCCCTAGGCAGAAAAGACTACTGAAATCACTCTCACCCTTCCTTCAATTCACAAACTACAGAGTGGAAAGAACAGATCTGTCAACAAAATGGTTAACCACACAGAAAAGAATCACTGACAAAAATATTTTTATTTCTTTTTACTTGTATGAAATACAAAAAATGAAAACATTAAAAAAGGTGGGGGAGCTCACTCTTACCTTATGTGTAATCCATTCTCGGCCATATTGATATACATTATTAGCTGCTGAATTGAGTGCCTTCTGAATAACCTGGGCTTCTGGGAGCCAGCTAGTTTTTTTTAAAGAAGGAAAACAAAGTTAACTGCTACGTATTCTACCCATTTCATTACACCCAAAACACATTACAAATTAACATTTTGAAACAACAACAAACAGTTAAGGTTAAATACACATAAACTTACTACAACTAGAATATTTCCTTCTACATATGAAGGAACAGACTTTCTCATAAGCAAAGCACAATGAAATCTAGGGCACGTCACTGCATTTGGAATTCTCCAAGGTTCCTGAAACCTTAGTTAAATTGGTATCTCAACTTTTTCAAAAGAGATCTGCTCTTCAATCTGTATGCGTGCTATTCACACTACATTCTTGGACATATTCCTAGTGTTCTAGTTTTCTGAAAATACTACATGAAGCAGTCTTGTCTAGCTGCAAAGACAACCTTCTGAATTACGAGCTGAATGTAAATTGTTAACATATTTTCCCTGAAAAAGCGACCAGATGAAGCAACAGGTTTGGGCACCACTTATTTCTAAATCCCCACCAAACTATCTCCTCATGAATTTCTTCAGCGATTCATGTCACTTTCAAGCAATGGACCTACTGAGTTGCCAGCATTTCAACACTTGTGAATACAGGGCACACATTCTCTGCTTTGATTTTCTTTCTACATCTTGATTCAACGGCACATGTTGGAGCCCTTCTAAATCAAGAAAGCATTCAGGAAATAAAACCGCTGCATTTGTTCACCTGACTGAAGATCAACATGGAAGCTTTTCTGTCTGTAAAACCCTTCAGAAATGTTCTGCACTGGAATTCCAAGACACTTCAGTCACTCACCTCTAAACGTAACGTGAGCATCAAGCTCTGAAAGCTGATGAAGCTTGATGGATTTGGCAAGAGGTATACTTACTCCTAATGAATTAAAATATAGTGTTTTGGATGCTTCAAATTTGGATGCAAACACTGGAAGTAAAAATTTTAGCTAAAATTCTGCTAATTACTCAACTAGTACTCCAGTATTTTCATTATGTGAATAAACTTCTGACAGTCAAATTTCCATTTTCATTAGTCCTACTTATTTCCATCTTATGGCAAAATGGAAAGAACAAACAACACAAGAGATGCCATGAAGGAGATGCCATTTTTAAGTGCTTTCTGTTCTCTTGATTGTGATTACTTAAGTATTGCTAAAGCACATGTTACTATAGTGTTTATTAACTCTATCTTAGTTCTGGTTTTGAAAATTTCTCCCGTTCTTATAACACAGCATGCACTTTCTTTCAATCCTGTTAAACCATCACCACTTTTGTTTAGAAAGTGCCTTCGAAAAAAATCAACTATTCTTGTCCAGGAGACAATTCTTTTTTCCTGGTAAGTGCCTGGACTCACCTTTACTCAATGTGTGTTTAGCTAAAGCAGAACGAAAGCAAACTGGAACATCCCCCCCTCAAAATCTATTCCCCCTCTGCTGTTCATGCAATCACTTCTTTGCTCACCAGTGTGCCCTTGTTTTTCTCTATATGCACTTCTCTCAAAATCTTCTCTCTCCTTTAGTATTTGCCTCCGTGTTTGCTTTAATCATTACATAGACCGTATCTTACAAACTTCCCCCTGCGTACACTACAAACATCTACTCTTAATAGGAACAGCCCTTCCCAACTGATTCATACCAAACTCTCCCCATCCACCATTCTTTCCACCCTCAAACTCTTCTTCAGTTCACTCCAAAAACATTTTCTTCGACTCCTATTCCCTTAAAGGCATTCTGCAGCCAGCTATCCACATTGAAAAAATAATTCAGCCCACATCTTGCAACCTTCTACAGAGAGCATTCTTTGCCATTACTTTTCTTTCGCAGGTAAAAGAATTTTGACTTCTTTATTCTCTGCACTATGCACGTTTTTCTCCAAAACTGCAACTATGTAAGTTTATACAGCTGTTCTTCTCCACCAAAGTCCAACCAGTTCTCAGATGAGATACCACATTGACAGTCCTCCAGAGTAATGTATAAACACTACCGCTGCCTGAGAGTTTAGTTTTACATCTGCCTGCAACAGTCACTCCCATCTCTGTTCACCTGAGGGATTTTTTTAAAAATTATGCATAAGAGCACCTGGAATCTTGTTCATCCACCCTATACTATTCACTTAACTTCAGCATTCTTACTTTGCCCATTCTGGATGACTGGCTACTGTCTCATTGATCAAGCTGCTTGTGACTTGAATCATGTGAACACTCTCTTGATGTACCTAAATTAAATACAGAGAGGAGAAATGTTATGTAATGCAAACTAGAACTCTTCAGAGAGGCTTTTTTTTTTTTTTTTTTTTTTTTTTTTTTTTTTTTTTTTTTTTTTTTTCTTTTTTTTCTTTTTTTTCTTTTTTCTTTTTTCTTTTTTTTTTTTTTTTTTTTTTTTTTTTTTTTTTTTTTTTTTTTTTTCCCCCTTTTTTAAAATTTTTTTTTTTTTTTTTTTTTTTTTTTTTTTTTTTTTTCTTTTTTTTTTTTGGGAGGGGGGTAGCAGGGGGAACAGGACAGGGAGGGGAGTGACCAATTTGTACATTAAAGAATAATTCTTCCAACACAGACAATCCATTATGAAGAATGAAGTGCCATTAACCCAAAAAAGCAGTCAATACAATAATCATCAGTCTGTTCTGACTATTTTGGTCACATGCTGTGTGACTAGTAATAGCAAATGGAAATTTAAACCTTACCTCATCAGTGGAAAAAATTTAACAATACAGCAGCACTCTCAAGGCAAGTACGAAAATACAAAGCAGTTTCAGATATACCTTTTTAAGCCATTGATCAAAGAAGTGTAAAAATTAATGAATGCTCAGCTCTAACATGAAGTGCCTCACCAAATTAATTCTTCAATAAGAATGATAAAAGACAGCTTTAATAAATATCTTAATGTTCCTTTTATGAATATAAGGAAGGAATGTTTGCACAACTTTTAAAGCTTTCAATTTTAAGTATTCAACTTTAAGCCTATATTTTGGTAAAAGGAGATTGACATCAGAACCCATTGATTTTTGTTCTGTAACTGTATTCAAGTCAAACATTCAGTCTCCACTGACTGTTTCAAGTATGAACATAGCTCCATTTAAAAAAACAAAGGGGGGGAGAAAAAAAAAAAAAAAAAAAAGAGTACATGAGTGGCCTCTTCTGGTGAGCAAAAAAAACCCCAACTACAAACCAAAAATCAATTCCAGAGAACATCTGAACATGAATCTGGGTACATTTAAACTCAGAACAGGATACCATGAGATTACCACAGGCAATTACACAAACAAATCGATAAATACATTTTAAGCGTTTTGCAAGTATGTTTCTGATGCAAGGTAAATTAAAAGGAAAAAATTCTAAGTGGCTCTGCTGTTGACGAGAAAAGTGTAACAGGATGCAAAACAAATCTGTTCCTGTAATATATGAGCTAGTAATTATTTTACTAGAATACATTTCGTATTTCCAAATGTCTATATATTAATTTTGTCACATGTGTAAATAAACATATAAATACAAATAAATATATAGATTTTTTTATAGATAAGAAGTCTTTGAATGGTAACAAGTTCAACTACAGAGCATTTAGTTGCTAAATTTTTCAAAAAAATTCTTTAAGCTACACAATTTTGCACAAATATCAGTAACTTTCATGCAGCATTTAAAATGAGCTCTATGATTACGTTCCTTAGCGCACTGTACCTTTGCAGTAAGGAGCAGGGCTAGCAGGAGGGTTCCTATCACCAGCAAAAATATTATGAAAATGCTGATTATTTTATCTAGCATTTTCTCCAACCACACAATTATCTGTGCAGAAAAAAGAAAAAACAAATCATAGCATATAAATCAATCTTTAATGAAAGCAATGCTATATGGCAGTATTGTTATCTTTATTTACAATCACAGTGCAAAATGAGGCTCTAACCAAACAGCATTTATGCCCAAGCCTGGAGATGAACAATTAACAAGCGATGTTAGCAGGATTAAAGTCATGGTATGACATGTGATTTTGCAAACGACATTTACACATTACCACAAGACACAGCAAGCTGTCTGCAAAGCAAGCAATAATTCAACATTTACTTACTAGACCTAAAGAAGCTAGCATTCATGTCAGCTATGAACTTAGAAATTTGTATTTGTTTCTTGTCCTTCAGCAACTTGAAAACTTACAGATACTATCTGCACAGGACTTGGAAGCTATCAAGGTATACTGTAAAGTACAACTATGACTTTTAAATTTGAATAGCTAATAGCCATCTAAACAACAAACAAGGTATTTCTGCAAGTAACCAAATTTTTAAAGCTGCTCATCACCTTCTGAACTGAAATAGGGCTGGAGCTTTTCTACACTGTTGAACATCAGGCCAATTATTCAGCACCAACTATTTCTATCCACTTTCAATCTCAAAAGGATGCTCAGCATTAAACATGCATCAGCTAAAGCTACTGATACTGTGTATGTTGTTCTGTCGGTTTATGGAAAGGCCCATTCTATACATGTCCACAAACAAATAGTGATACCACTTAAGATTAGAGAAATTCTGATGTCATTCAAAACAATAAAACTGCTCAGCCACAGGACTATGCAGAGTCCTCCAGAATAATGCAAGCTGAGCTTCGTCTCATACACGAATTCACTGTTCACATAAAAAGCTGTGGAAGCCCATGCAAGTATGACCAAATACATTTTTCTAGCTTCTATAGTTCAAATACCAAGGCTACTTCTACCCCATCTGGCACTACTGCAGGAAAAAGCAGCAGCAGAAGGACAGCTATAAAATTTCTGCTTTAAAAGAACTGATGTCAAAGCCAATGTGCAATGTGCAATGCCAAGTGAGTTGAAGTTATATATTCAGCAATTAGGCTGGTAACTTTTTAGTTAAGAGATCTTATAAAACTACTAATGTTCTTGCTGATGGTTTACATTAGTTCATTCTTACACGTGAAATTAGCCCTGGAACAACTAACTTCTACAGACTGCTGTGTGATGATTGAATTGGTTAACACCGAAGTTATATCTCCTACTTGAAAAAAAAAGTAAGGAATTTTTTTGGTGCTCATCCTGTAGCATCTGAGCAGTTAAATGTACATTAAGCAATTATTTTTAAACTTCAAGTTCTTTTACAACTAACTCCTTGTTTGATCTAAATTAACACAAGGATTCTATTCAGCATTTTAGAACTGTTGTTCAAAATGATGAAGAAAACGGAAGAAAGCAAAATCCTTCTAAAAGAAACAAGGTGTTGAGCCAGCAATTTTTTGTAACAAAATCTACACTATATTATGATCTGCAGAAACGAATTCAGAGAACCTGAAGGAATCTGCAAAATCTTTTGTCTTAGATATTTTTAACATTTTTCAGCACTGCTGAAATATTTCAGCCATCAGAAATGCCTTGCAAGTGCTAGAGGGAGGTTACCTGCCTGCAGCAGTACTGCAGCTTTCTGAAAAACTCTGAGTAGTCTCTATATGGGGCTGTTACCTTTTTGGAAATAAGACTGAAGACAGGATTTGCTGTGCCCTTCAAAGCCTCACATACATCTAAGGATTATGCAAGAGAAGCAAGAAATAAAAGTCCCTGTTTTAAAGGTCAGAAATCAAAAATATCACTGAAAAACACTGGGTGGCCAGGGGACAGAAATTTTATAGCATAGGCTTCAAAATGAAGCTTTTAAAAATTAAACCTGCCCTTGTTATTTCTCAGTTAACAAAGTTCAAGCTAATTGCTATTTACTTTCTAAGTTAGAGATAAAAGAAATCCGGTAGCTCATCTTACATACAGCACCTTAATCAGACTCACTGAATCCAAGAAATTGGAGGTACTGTCAGAGATTTCCAAAAATGCTAGCCTCAGTGATCGTGTGAGTGGTTTCCAATAGATGAAATCTCAGTGCAGCTGAAGCTGGATGCCTTAGATGTTTCACCATGGTAGCAACTACTGGAAGATCAAGCTCCGAAAGATCAGGATGAGGACCGTCTCTGAACTGGAACATGACGAACAGGAGATCTCTTCTTGACACTCCTTACTGTGGGTCGGAGTATGCCTACACTGCTATTGAGGTGCAGCTGCAGCACAGGTAAAGCCTGAACTACCTTTAATCTAGTTAGTAAAGTAATGGCTGCACTGATGTTGTACCAGTGCAGGCAGCAGCCTCAGCCGTGCAAGCCCACCTTGTGTTTATTTACTTAGGCAGGCAGCCCAAGCAAGCTAGATGAAAGCCAGCTCTGGTATGCCTACAGGTACTACAATTACATCTCCCACCAGTGTCTTAAGGAGATCCAAGTTATACAACTGGTACAGACATATCACAGGAGAAGACTGAACTGGATTGAGTATCGTAAAAGTAAAAGCAGATGCACAACATTCATTTAGGGCTATATTTACTCCTTCTCCTTTAATTCGCTTGCTATTAAACCTCCCTTCCTTCCTCTACGTTTACGCACAACACTTCCTTAGGAAGCACTCACCTTTGCACACTCATGCTAAATAATGCATAGGTGCTATGTTACTGCAGGTAAGCTAGACTGTTAAATCCCTGTGTGCTTGTACTTACCACTGAATCAGGTCCAGACTTCATTCTTACCCCAGCCCTGTCAGACCTCCCTTTACATCCTTCCTGTAAACCATGGGCATGCACACAAAGACAAACATATACTGACTAAACACTAGCCATTAGCCAGATATCATGAAGTTTTAAATTCAGTTCGAAGCTTCTAAGCTAAAGGTTAGTCAACAGCGGGAAGCTGATGCTGCCACAACAACCAATATTACGCAAAGGTAAAGGAAAGCCAGGCTCCTAAGCTACAGAAGGTCACACTTGTAAAACCAAACTGAAACGTTACTGATTTGTGATAGACTGTCCACAAAAAACTATGCTTAATTGTCACAGTTTTGAAGGGGAAAGTATCAACTTATTAGTTTTTTTTTTAAATTTAGCTCACTGTAAAAAAAAGTTTTTAAGATGAGTTGCATTCTGTTAAAATGCTTCTCAATTATTTGCAAGTATCCCCTGCTTTCAACTTTTGGGTGATGATACAAACCGTATTACACCGAGCTGTAACAGAACTACAGTTCATGCTTAACAATCAGGAATCCTACTATGTAGATAGGTTCTCCATATTATACAGTATGATACATCACCTATGAATTCATATTTTCATGTTTCACGCTGCACAGCCATCAGAACACTAGTTTTTCTAGTATGTTTTATTTACTGCATTACCCACACAGTGAAGCATACCTTGAAATCTACTTCATTTTCAATTAAATCTACATAAAATTACCAAAAAGGACTATTTTTTTTTCTTTAAACAGCTTCACTATCAGGATTTTTTCCAAGACATTTCTTAGACTTGTTGACATTTCCCTTAGTTAATTAATATTTGAGGATATCATCTTATTAATATCATCTGATGAGAATATGGGGAAGCCTGTAATCAGGACACATCTCAGGGTTATGTTGAAATGAGTCAGATGAGTAGTTAAGTTAGAAAAGATAGAGAACAGCCTATATGAGGTCCCAAGTCTACTTACACCACTGTCCCTCCACCAGCAACAGCAGAATTTAGCAATTCTTTCTAAAGGCTCCTGCCATAGACAATGTTATAAAGAACAAATCACGCTAGCCCAACTGAACCTACTCTACTATTTTGGGCTACATATACCATGTTAAACTATGTGATTATATACTATTCTTGTTTGCCCCAGGGAAAAAAAAAAAAAAAAAAAAAAGAGTTTCAACGAGCTTTTTGACAGAAGCTCTTTGAACAGGAAGAAAAAAAATAAGGTTTATCACTAGCAGCCATAATTAACCATCATTTCAAACTCTGCTGTCTCTAGGTGGTGTATTTTTAGTTTCTTAGTGGATTATCAAAAATTTATCTTGGTGTTCTCACAAGTACTTCCCTTCAAAGACAGGAAAAGGAGAAAGGTGCAAAGAAAGCAACCTTTTACCTGCATCAAGTGTTCTGTATTACAAATCTCCTCCTCTCTTTGCCTCTGATAGAGCATGTTGTTTGTTTTTTTTTAATGTAATTATTGGGGGGGAGGGGGGGAGGGAAGAAAAAAACAATTCAACAAAACAAACCCGCAAAACCCGATACAGTTTGCACAGTATTTTTTCACCTTTATTTAAAATCTTGATTATATTATTACTACTTGCTCGTGCACAGGAATCAGCACTGTAACACTACAGGACTTTCAGGATCTCTTCCTGTGAAACTGTAAAGTACAACAGTGTTTTTTAAGAATAGCTCCTAGAACTGAAAAAAAAACTCTGTTAAGAAACTATATCCATGGGGTTTTGCCCAATAATGCAAATCTCTAAACTAATAATAAAATCCAGACACTTTAGAGTTCAAAGCAATTACAGTGAAATTATTTTTGCAACCTATCAATATTAAGGAAAAAATTGATCTATATATATGAATTTTCAAGCAAGCAAATGACAAATTCAGAGCCAGAAAAAAAAGTAGTTGAGATTAAACTTTCACCTGTGGCTTACTGAACTCAGCTCTTCACCTAAACTGTGCTAACAAACCAATACCCAATCAAAAAATTTTTATGAAGGGTTATGGTTGCACATATTTACTAATCGTAAGTCACTCACATAACAGAAACATTTCAAGGTCAGGAAATAAAAACGTAATTTTAAAACAACCAAACTATATTCAAGAGCAAAAGAACATTCAAAAATTCACCTCTTAGTGGACAATTATAACTGAATCATAAAGCAAGCAACTCTACCCTCTTATTCAGAAACACAGAAAGCTCCCCATCATATCACCCTGAGTTCATTGATGAAATACTGAAGATCAAACTTTCTAAAATCATTACAGCTGCTCAGCCTGGACACTACATGCAGCATTATTCCCCATCTGCCACCCACAGCAGATACCAGCTGTGTAGCCCCATTTCATTGTTTACAAGAACCTTTTAGAGAGTTGCACCAGTGCCCCCATGGCCTCCGTGCTCTACTCTGTTCTGCTTGTTTTCAACAGCTTGTTTTCAACAGCATATACAACAACAGTATTTCAGGTGTCTTGCACAACATGCAAGGAGATCTACGGTTTCTATTGTAGTAGCTACTGAGCGGAAAAGATGGGTTGTTGTTTCTAAAACCATAGTAACCATTCTGACTCTCCCACTAACAGTGAACTGGTAAGTGAGGATAGAAGTTGCTGCTCGAAGCGCAACCCATTTCCAGATACGGTATTTGATTTTTTCTTTCACTTAATTGCTTGGTTTTCATATATTTTATCACATACTAGATTTTCACCTTTAAAACTCTGAGGTCCTGCAGATGTACATATGCTACAGGCGTCCCTCCCCAGCTCTGTGCTTCTCTGAAGCAATGACACTGCCCACATCCCAGAGAGGTATCACTGCATTGAGCTGTTGTCCAGATTTCAGTCACACATGAGGACAAACATGGACTGAATCAGTTTTAACTTCTCTTGGGATGACAGTTCCCCAAAGAACAATACTTAACCCTAGTTAACTAAGATAAACCATGGGAACTGAGGAGTACATTTCCTGTAAAATACATCACATGCTTTTAAAAGCCACACAAAAGAAAAAATATTTTAGCTATACCAACTGCTTTAATTGTATTTTTACAATTATTTTTACTAGCCCTCACTTCCCTTAAGACTGTCGTTAGATTCAGCAGTTCTGAGACCATGAGTATTCTCATTTCACTCCTGCTACACTGAATACCACTGAGTATATAGGCCAGTTTGACACTTCAGAAGTAAAAGATTAACAGCACTGACTGAAGCCAGTCAATACACTACTTGCGAGCACTCACATTCATAGCTTTACAGCTGTGCTTCACCCTCACCACTCCCACGCTACTTCAGTTAACTGATGCTTTCTCTGAGCAGAGAACAGCTCTCCAGTCTGAGAGAGAACTGGTTTTGTTATGCATACAAGTGAGGACCAGGTGGAGATCAACTGTTCTTAAATAAAAGTGCCACTAAATCAAACTACCGCTTGGAAGGCTAATGCAATATTCTGCTGTACAAAACATTTAACTGTGTGCAATTCATTTTAGTAGAATACAAGATTAGGTAGAATTATATGACCTTCAGTAGCTTATATCAAGAGCTGGAAAAGAGACACTAGGGAGAGAAAACTAAGAAGCAAGGCATGTTAAGGAGTGTTCATGCTGGAAAAAAAAACAAAAAACAAAAAAAAACCCAAAAAACCCAACCCACTCCCCAAAACCACAGAATCCATTAGTTGGAATCACCATTTCTCTGTTTATTTACCTTCTTATTAAGCCAGTGCCACAGCTTGTCAGTGGCAGGGGGAGATGGAAGAAAAGGGAAAAAAAGACAAGAACACAGTGGAAAATTATTGAAAAATGCAGTAATAGAGAGGGGAAAAAAAGCAATGAGAGGCAGGCAAAGTCATCCACAGAATGAAAATGAAATTGTTCCAGACACAAAGGTAAATTGCAATAGGAAGAAAAGATCATAACAACTTCTAATGCAAGAACCTAGATTTTACTATTAACATGCACTTTTTGAAACAAAGAGGGATATAACAACTAAGAACAACTTCAATGCTATTAACAGAGCTATCAGCATAATCTGGGCAATTCCAGTTTAATTATACTGAGAGCTAACATTTCAGATTTCAGAGCAGGACTTGTAGAAGTACTCTGGGAAGGGCACTTTACTGAAACACCAAAACGTAACATGAGATACTTGTTTATTGCATTAATACTCCCACCATTCAGGCAGTTTCCTATGTATTTCAAAACACTCCTATTATGTCAACTACTGTTAAACAAATTTTATATTTTTTTAGTACCACATTCACACTACAACATTCACATTCAATGGCACAACATCAAATACATAATTTAATCTGATATACACACAACAGCAAATTGTAGTTCAAATAAATGTATAGATTTCATATAATTTTATTGGTTGTGCAGAGGGCTCTGCACTTTTCAAGTCAATTTCTCCTTTTGTACGACAGTTATTTTTCCTTACTAATTCTCACCCACACTGTTCAAGTACACCCATTTCAGGACCTAGTTTATGTAGGACTATAGTTTTAATTCTAGCCATTAGTAATCAGCAACATAATCACAACAGTGAAAAGCTTTAATGTTATTATTCATCTGTGTTAGAGGCTAAGATCAAGTAAGTGAAGTTTGTTTCTCCCTGAAAACAACATCATTGAATGCTCAACAAATCTAGTGTTTTCACCAGTTGCCAGAAATTATATTAGCTCCCAATGAAAACAAAATGTAAGAACATTTCAAATTTAAAAAATCTCAGAATGTTAATTAAGTTATATCAGAAGCAAGAAGCAGATTTACAAAGAAACATGAAAAACATGAACATCAGGAAACACGAAAATAAAATATGTCACAAAGCACCCACTTTTGCTAGCTTTTACTACTCATGGAAAGAATCACAGTAACGGAAAGCAATGACAAAGCTTCAAAAACCTCATATTCACACTGTAGAATGTTTCTATTTTACCTCTTCATCTATGGAATAAATGTAAAGTTGTTTACTGATTCAACAACATACTTTTGCCTTTAACTTTACTTCTGCATATTAAAACCCACTATACTTTAGATTCAGTTTGGAAAAAACAGAGATCTCATGGCTGTATTTCTCCACTTTGCAACTCCAATACAACAAAAGCTAGAACTCTATTGTTAGCCTGAGATTTTAGCAGAATGTGAAAGGAAGTCTTTGGTATTTTTCTATAATTTCAGCCTCCTGGAATTGGACAATAAATACAATAACTAGGAAATAACACTGTAAGTCAAAAATAACATTTTTTATTAATATCTGGGAGGCTCTACCTGCCTACTATCTTACTAATACTGATGTTTAAGTAGTTCTACAAATGTAATCAACCTACACTTAAGAACAGGCTACAGCTTAATTCTTATCTTCAGATCATCCAAAATTAATAAGGCTACAGCTGCTTTTCCAGTATTTTATTGGAAAACTATTTATATAACATCTTACATGTCTATGGAAGTATTTCCTAGAACAATATATGCACTGGTAGAGATTCTGCCCATTTTCTGTGCTTGCTTTAACTACATGCTAAACTTGGTACCAGAAGAACCAAACCTTGACTTTACCCAAAGTCCAAAAAATCTATTACAGTCTTCCATATATAAAATGCTAGTATGCTACCTAGAAAAAGCATATAATAACTACATGATTCACTGAAGTCTACCAGAAAGCATGCATGTAAAATACTAGCACATTCTAATTAGTAAGTCTAGTGCACTCAGTTGAGCAACTGCCTATGCTGCTGAACTCCCTCGCAAACTCCTATCAAAATAAAACTACAGTCACCATATTAGAATTCTTTTTTAAAAAAAAATTATCAGTGAAGCAAATTATTAATTCTTGACTGTTGATAAGAACATGCATGATATTGAATCTATTAAGTTTTAAGATGACTTGATGGATGACAACAGAAACCTCCCTACTCTTTCCTCCAGGAAGTCTCTCATATTTGAACTGTTGTGTCTGTTGGCTCTGTGGGGCAAAGGCACATCCAGGGACTAAAGAATACAGTAAAGATATCCTACTTCCATAGTCCATATTTAAAGCAGGCCTGCACATACAGGCACAGCCTAACCTGCTGTTTATAAAGAAAATTAAAAGCAATGCCCTACTTTCTTTCCTCTTGATCTGAGCTTCTCTTCAGTTCAAATTTGTCTGCATTTCCAAGATAACCAGAGGTTGATGAGCAGTGGGAAAGAAGCAGCACAGTTCTTTTCCTACTGCTTTTATTTAAGAAACAGACAGTAAAGCTCAAAGATTTGCATGCATGAGTAGTACTCTCCCATAATTTCTCACAATGGGTTATTTTCCATCTACACTAGCCTCCTAAACTTCATTTGGGAGAAAAAGACATGCCACTCCAAGATGTCTTCCTCGTCCTCACTACCTTTTACTCAAAACTGGAACTATTTCTTAATCGGGCATACCACTTTAGAAAGACCAAGTAACACCACTAGATATTTGTGTGAAAACAGACCTTGCCAATGGCTTGTTGTACTTAGCTAAGAGCCCCAATACCTCCTGATGCTGAAACTCAGCCTCCAATTAACTCAGTATACAAAAAAAAAAACAAACAAACAAAAATCCCTAAGCAGCTTCAGCTCCCAGAAAAAGAAAGGACAAATAAAATATTAAAAAATTAAACATCTAATTGCAAAGGAAATGATCCTTCAATCTTGGTGTCTCATACACACACACACACAAAAGGTAAGCTGTAACAATTTACTCTATGAATTTCTATTTTGTGTTTGCATATTTTTACTTCCTCTTCAACAGTGCCTACTGAAGACAACATGTTTGGTAATTCAGCTTCTCATTCCTCTCCTTTCCCTGTCCCCACAAAAATCACAATTGCCAATACACTATGGCATTGCTTCCAAAATTCTCAGAGATAAAATGCATCCATGATCCTACAATGCACAGAATAAGCATATCCAGTAGAACTTAAAATATGTGAAAGCATTATTTTGGTAAGCATTGGAAAACCACAAATAATTCCAGACACCCATGATAAAGCCAGGTGAACTGTAATTAGAATAGGCACAAACGAGGACAACAGAATCAGGCAGAGTATCAAGTGTCCCTCTTACAACGGCTTTAACACACACAGCACAGCCTCAGAAGGAATATGGCTGCCATCTAAAAAATGGGGGGAGAGGGGAGATGGAGAAATGAGTTGTGCCAACGCTGTTCTTTTGCTTAGACAAGCACAACACGAATACAAACTGACCTTAAATACATTTAAGCTGAAGAGTGGGAAATTCTGCTGCACATTACGACAAAAGCCCTACCTTCTTTACGGAGAAAAGACTTAGTGGAATTAGGAAGGATACTGTATCGTATAGTTATACAATACAAGGATACTAAACTTGACAACTCATGAAATACAATACATACAATGTTTTGTCTAGAGAATTTTCTTACTTACAAAACAGAATCTTTTAATGAAAAACTTTGTATAATGTACGCTTTTATCGTAACATGTTAATACCTTCCACCACCTTTGGAAACCCCCTTTGTCTCGTTCATAGCTGTATTCTGAAAGACTTTTCCTTTTTCAAATTCTTCCTCAATGAACTCTGTGAAATCATTACTTATTTCCTACAGCCATTTTAATGCTTTTGTTGACCTTTTGACATCCATTTACCCATTAGATCTGGGTTAAAGCTCTTCCTTTTCCTGTAGGAATTCAGAGCTATAAACTGCAGACGGATCTGCTGAGGTACAGATGCCCTGACAAATATACTTACAGGGTTCAGCTCTTCAGTTATGGAAACTCTGAGGTAACGGCCTTTTCTAAAGCAGAGAATACTTCAACAACACAGTTACAGAAAGCACATTCTCACACACTGGCATAGCTATTACAAACAAAATAATCTATCAGGTTAAGTCAAAGCTTACAATTCTGAATGGAGGAGCCTTCATAAATTTTATGGAGCTTTCCAATTCTGCGATTTGCAATGCAAATATGGGCACATTTTGAATGGGGGAAAGGGAGGGGAGCACAGAAGCCTTATTCTATGGCACTTCCCAAATATCTTATCCCACATACTTCTTCTCTTACAGAGGGAAGCCTCCCTTCTGTACCATCATGCCACTGTGTTCAACAACTATACTTCCACACAGTATAAACAAACATGTTCGAACTAGCTCAGGCCCTACTTACAGAATAAAATGGTTGCTTTTTAAATTAAGTTTTCACAACAGAAGTAGGAATGTCTCATCCTTCAGGTTAAAGCTCATTAAATTTAACTTCAAAATCTTTGTAATCAGGTAAGGTGACTGAATCATGAGAAGTTTGCCTTACGCAGATAAGGAATCTTCTAAAGCTAACTCAACATTTAAAAAGTTACTTCTGTCAAGCTTTGCATGTAATCATTTAACAAAGTTTAAATGTGTACTTAAGTGTGAATAGTGACAGAAGAGACATGCTTTAAAATACACCATAGAACAGATACAGTTTTACACAAGAGACATGTCCATTAGTGACAGACATTTATTTTAGAATTAAAGCATCTCGGCATACAGTGAACACAGAATAGAATAAACTTTCAGGTTGCTTAAGGAAATAAGTAGAAATACCTTACTGTCAAGCTTTAGCATGACTCTTCCGAGCCCTCTGACGGGCCGTGGAGCAAGAGCTTCCTGACGTTCCTTCACAAAATTTTCAACAAGTTGCCACCAACTTTTGCAATGGTTTGCCATGAAGGTCAAAACTCCAAAATGAACCACGAGTTTTTTAAGTGCCCAAACTGTAACCACAAGAAGGAAATTAAGTATTAGAGATTTCAGAGGAGCACCACAAGACTACGCATCTATTCCATTCTGAAAGACCTATGAAAAAGAAAGAAAAAGATTCTTGAGTTTTATTTCCCATTAGAAACCACTTTCAGAATTTTCAAGTGGTTTTAGTACTAATCTCCTCACTTGCTTTACAGCTGTGCTTATCCACATGGAATTTAGATGGCAGCAGAAGAAAGGTGCTGGTGTGCTACCCAATTATGCAGCTAACAGACTTGAGCAAGGCCTGGGATAAGCAGGTGCCATTCCATGATTCCAGTACAGTGGATTTATCACATCTTCACACATACACCATGCCAGATGACTACACATAAAATACCATATTCAGAACTTAACAGTATGTTACACATAAAAGAAAATTTTCAGCCTCAATTCTTAAGTTTTAGGCCTTTTATACTGTTAAAGCTGTATCTTTCCTTTAAGAACTGACAGCAGATCATGTATAATTTCACAGTAAAGAAGTGTTCCTTTAAGCCTTTTTTAAGCCTAATTGAAATACAACTACTGATTAATTTTGCTTTTAAACATCAAAAACATTATTTTGAGATCAGCTTTTTATCTTGGCTTGAAGATGATCACACAAAGCTTCAGAAAAATCCATACTGCTCCTCAAAACCAGACAACAGAAGAAATATTTACAACTTTTTTTCCCCAAAAAAGAAGCATTTTGCTACCACAAACAGCTTTTCTCCAACACTCCTAACATATATCCACTGTAAAATAAAGAGCTTCTCAACAACACTAGAAATGTCTAGCATTACAGTTACAGAAATAAAAGCTCATGTCCATTTACTTGCCATGAAATAAAGCCCAGAGAGTTTTGCATAAGGCTTATGGTTCCAATTCTGCAATGGCACTGCTCTCCCTCACTTACTGAGTATACGTGCAGAACTTGTGAATCATCACTATCAGGAATGCAAAAACAAAAAAGCATGATACATATGAAAACTTTCCTTGGAAGCTAATAGACCTTTAATAGTCACAAAATATTTGCCATATTCTTTTTTTGTTCAACAAAATGTTACACCACTCAAATTATCTATCTTCTCATCACTGAAAAGAAGCTGGTTGCCTGACCAACCTAGTGGCCTTCTGTGATGGAGTGACTACATCAGTGGACATAGGAAGGGCTACAGATGTCATCTATCTGGACCTCTGTAAGGCCTCTGACATGGTCCCCCACAACATCCTTCTGTCTAAACTGTAGAGGTATGGATTTGATGGGTGGACTGTCCGGTGGGTGAGGAATTGGTTGGATGGACGCATCCAGAGGGTAGTGGTCAATGGCTCAATGTCCAGATGGAGATCGGTGATGAGTGGTGTCCCGCAGAGGTCCGTATTGAGACCGGTACTGTTTAACATCTTCATCAATGACATAGTAGGACTGAGTGCACCCTCAGCAAGTTTGGAGACAACACCAAGCTGAGTGATGCTGTCGACACACCTGAGGGACAGGATGCCATCCAGATGGACCTGGACAAGCTCGAGAAGTGGACCCGTGTGAACCTCATGAGGTTCAACAAGGCCAAGTGCAAGGTCCTGCACCTGGGTCAGGGCAACCCCCGGTATCAATACAGGCTGGGGATGAAGGGATTGAGAGCAGCCCTGCTGAGAAGGACTTGGGGGTACTGGTGGATGAGAAGCTGGACGTAAGCCAACAATGTGCACTCGCAGCCCAGAAGGCCATCAAAAGAAGCGTGGCCGACAGGTCAAGGGAGGTGATTCTGCCCCTCTACTCTGCTCTCCACTACTCCTCAGGGTGAGACCCCACCTGGAGTACTGCATCCAGCTCTGGAGCCCTTAGCCCAAGAAAGACATGGACCTGTTGGAGCGGGTCCAGAGGAGGGCCACAAAAATGCTCAGGGGGGTGAAAGGCCTCTCCTATGAAGAAAGGCTGAGAGAGTTGGGGTTATTTAGCCTGGAGAAGAGGCGGCTTCAGGGAGATCTTATTGCAGCCTATCAGTACTTAAAGGGGGCTTGTAAGAAAGATGGGGACAAACTTTTTAGCAGGGCCTGTTGCGACAGGACAAGGGGGAATGGTTTTAAACTAAAAGAGGGTAGATTTAGACTAGAGATTAGGAAGAAATCTTTTACAGTGAGGCTGGTAAAACACTGGCAGAGGTTGCCCAGAGAGGTGGTAGATGCCCCATCCCTGGAAACATTCAAGGTCAGGTTCGCCGGGGCTCTGAGCAACCTGATCTAGTTGAAGATGTCCCTGCCCATGGCAGGGGGGTTGGACTAGATGAGCTTTAAAGGTCCCTTCCAACCCAAACTATTCCATCATTCTGAAAGTGAGTAATCTTACAAAGCCACTAGGAGATTTAACATCAGAACACAGGAGTTAATTAATTCACATTATAAACAAAGATTTGATTTACAACTGATTTTACTGAAGTACTAATGCAAACATACCAGTCACTAAAACATCATTACAAGATACATCAACTTGAAGGATCATAATTATTATATGTAGCAGTAACAGACCAGAAGGTCTCACAACCTAGTCCTGCCATGAACTGCTGATACACAAACCCCTAAACAAAATTATGCTGCATCCCCAAATACTGAAAACTATGGTTTTAAAGGAAAACCATAGAGTGAAACTATTAGCAACAGAATCACATAATTCTCCTAATTTCTCCCTAATTTTTTTTAAACCAGAATTTAGCAACAGTAAACGTCACATGTAGATGAAAAATTACAGTCGGTGTTAGAAATTCTACTTACAGAAAGTAAAATAACTTTATGTGAAAATGCCAGCAGTAGTCCTCCAATTATATCGTATTTATAGCAACATTTGATGCTGAACTCCCCATCATTACATTCAAGTGTACTTTTAATCAATTTTTTTTGTTATGAAAGACTATTCTCCAAACTAGATTCATTACCTACTGCCATACATCAACACCACAATAATTCCCTCATCCTCAAAAATTCACATCATGCTTCTACTTGGAGATTTGTAAAATGACATACATAGCCGAAAAGGTTAACTAATAGTTTACATTCTTGTTCATGGAGAGTTCATTCAACAATTTGCTGACATTTGGTTTACTTACCCTCTGGCACCACCATGCGGCATATATGGGATTTATTCTCTTGAAGAAATAGAACAATCTAATAATCTTTCTACTAAAGATCATGTGGCAAAGATACAAAAAAGGAGAAAATATAGTTCGAGTGCCAGCACCTAATTTACAGGCTGAAGTTCTGTATGATGAAATGCAACTCATGGTAAATACACAAACTGCTGCTCAGCAAAACAGGGCAAGCTTGCATTTTACAAGGTGAACAACATACCTGAAATGGCATTCTAACCTTCTGCTATTATTTAGAAGTGTTTAAATAATATCTTCAGAAATAACTGAGTGTACACTCTTTGCAAAGGTGATGTCAGGAGGTGCTACAGTCAATCACACAGCTGTAATTATATTAGGTTAAAAAGAGGCAAGAGAGAAAAAGCTAAATAAGGACTGTTTCTAGAAAGTTGTGAGCAAAAGAAGAAAAAGGCTACATAATAAGAAATTCCAAACATCTCCAGGAAGCAGAAAATGACCTGAAGACAAAAATAAAATTAAAAAAAGAATGCAACAGAACAAGCAAGGAAGTAAATGAAAGATCTTAAAAAGAGACAATACCAGGATTCCCAGGATTACATCACTGAACAAAATGCTACAAGTGTTCCACAACCTGGTTTATTGCTTACCTTTTGAATTCAAAAGTCATTTTTTCACCTTCTCATTTTATGGTATAATTATGGCATAATTTTTCCACCCTCTACATTAAGCAGTTTTAAAACAACATCTCATTCTACCGAAGTACAAATGCATTCAAGGAAAAAAGTTAATGGTACCAAGATATTTCTAATAATCTAATTGCTACTTCATGTAAGTGCTGTCTACCAATATAAGGAACTTTGGTAAAATTAACACCTTTCTATTTAAGGTTTTGGGGTGGTTTGTTTTTGGTTTGTTTTTTTTTTTTTTTTTAACATACTAGAAGCATTCTCCTTAAGGTCTCAAAATTGCTTAAAGTTATTAGTCTCCTTAAACTTGAACAGTTGCAAGGAAACTTGCTTTACAAGCCTTCCTATTTTCCAATGCTAAGTGTTTTTAATACCACCTCTCTTAACAATCCATCATTCGCCTTCTGACACTCAATATGATCCACTGTTCTAAATTTGGCTCTGTTCATCATTACATTGCCTTTTCATAGTATTTTTGTGGTGATCTAATTATATTCAGTTATATGCCAAGAAAAAGCACTTAATGGCCCAGTGTCACTGCTAAGGCAACAAGTCACAAATACTCTCAAAATTAATTTCTATTTTGGCATGAGTTTATTGTTTGGGTAGCTATTTTAGACCTAATGACTGGCAGCAGCAGTATTCATCCATTTCAGTTATAGATGTGCACTTTAATCTAGATTTGTCTAGCTCAAGCTTAAAACTATTCATTGTTGTCTGCCTAACTTCAAAACTATTGCATCCATTTTTCCTCCCACCCAAGTAGGTATTTCTAAATGGTGGTTAAGTCACTCCTTGACTTTTCTCTTCAAAAAATTAAGCCACGTAAGCTCTGCTTCTAGTAAGTCTAAAATTATTTTCTAATCCCTTTATCATTTTTATTAGTTATTTATGAGCTACATCCAACCTGCTATCGCCATTTCCCATGATGCCCAGACACCAAAACTGGGCAGTTTCTTCTGTAGCAATTACACCGGAATGAAACAAAGATCAACCCTCTCTCTCCTCTTACCCTGTATTCAGCTATTTATATGCCTAACCATCACACTACTCTTTAGCTGCTGCTACAGTGCCACAGCCAAACGTGCAGCTGTTCCTTTCACCATGCCTCTCAGAGTTCACAGGCCCTCGAACCTGTAAGCGTGGCCCCACAGCCGTGATTTCCAGATGCACAGCTAGACGGTTTGTAATGGCTTTGTGTATTGGGTGAAAATCACAAGGCTTTGGTAGCAGGGTGGCTGCTGGGGCGGCCTCCATGGGGAGAGACCAGGGGCTGCCTCATGCCAGACACACTCAGTTCCAGGTGGCTCCACAACGGACCCACCACAGGCCAAAGCTGAGCCCACCAGGCACGGGTGTGGCGCCTCTGTGAAAATGTATTTAAGAAAGGGCACTAGAGAGGGAGAAGAGGAGGGAACACAGAGAGAACAAGTGAATAGAGAGGAAGAAGGAACAGAGGGATGAACAGAGGGAATAAAAAGGCCAGGGGAGTAGAAGTGCTCCATGGTGGAGCAGGCACACCACTCAGAGGGACTGTGGCTTGTGGAGGACCCATGCTGGAGCAGGTACACCCCTTGAAGGGACTGTGGCCTAGGGATGAGGAGACGCCTGAGCCGGTACCTCCCCAAAGGGACTGCAGCTCATGGATGAGCCCACACTGGAAATCAGGAAAAGAGCGATTGGCTCTGTGGGTACTTGGCCGCTAGCTGGGGCCAACCCACCACACTTGGTAAAAGGGAAAGTAGCTACCTTTAAGTGATAAATACATTAAAAAATGCTGAAAATTAGCATTTTAACTGAAGTTTAGAGAAAATCCAAGCAAATTAGGAAACCCACTTTGTTTATAGTAGGGGGATGGGAGGAAATGCCTTCAGATTCATAGTAGCTCATGCGTATTTCCAGAATTCCCATCTTCCCTATTCACCCCCCGAAAGAGTACTGGAAAAAGTGGCATTCAGTTTTAAAATAACCTCTTTAGATAGCTATCATAACTACTCCGTTCTTGCTTGATATGTAAGAGAAGCAACAAAGCTAATTAACCTCAGAGCTAGAATTAGAATCAAATTTATCTTGTGACTTGCCCACAGAGCCTAGCAACCCATTTTTAATGGAAATTAAAAGTTAGCATGAGCTGTACTTCACTACTGAGTAACAGCTGAATTATTCTTTATCTATAGGTGCAAAAACATGAAAGACATGACATCAAGAGGAAGAAAACCAAAGTACTCTAAACCAGAAGTATTCTTACAATGTAAGGTATGGCACTAAATTATTCCAGGTAACTACAATTGTAAAATTGCTTTGTCTGTTGACTGAGTTGTCCACTACATGGAAAAGTGCACATAAATCTCCCTATTTGAAGCTACAATTTATCTTGTCTTAACAAAAAGTCTTGAAAAAGTTTTAATTTAAAACTCATACAAGCCTACAAGCCTTTCCTTCTATTTTATTTAACACAAAGCCTAAGGCTATCCAAAGTCATCATTTAACACACATTTCTAATAATTGGATTATTACCTGCAAAAGGCACTGGCAATAGCTGCACAATCCAGAAATTTAGCCAGATCTGGACGATGACAAAGGCCCACACAAGTGTAACAAAGTATATATCACTAGTTTTCTTTTTTCTAAGAAAAGATCCCATCTCAGGTCTTTGTCTGCTCCCAGAAGAGGATGAAGAGGAGGAGAAAGATGATGAAGCATGTGGAGGCTGATCACCTTCTGTTGCTCCTAAAACAAACAAATGCAAAGAAGTGGGAATTATCACATTAATGTTCACCACAGAACAGAATATGCTCCCTAGTCCCAAATTAACCTTTTTTTAATTTGGTTGTTGTTTTTTTTTTTATTTTGTTTTGGGTTTTTTTGTTTTGGTTTTTTTTTTTGGTTTTTGGGGGTTTGGGTTTTGTGTGGGTTTTTTTTTTGTTTTTTTTTTTTTAATTTCTCTAAAAGACAGAGACAGCCTTGGCACTGATCTGAATTTTGAACAGCTAGAACAGGGCTGTGTAAGCTTTCCCACATCATGCAACATCATGCCAAGCAGTGCTGGGAGGAGGAGAGAAGAAAAGATGCTACAGCCTCTAAGAGGCCTCCTGTCACTGCAGGTAAATTACAAGCCAAGTGTATCTTATCAAAGAACTGTAAAACCCTGAAAAACACAAATTCACTTCTAAAAGAAATCTAAAGTCTTAAAAGAAATCTTTCTCTTTACTTCAAGTACTCAAAAAGAAATCTTAGATTTGTCATTTAAACAAAAAAAAAACCCAGCATACATTGAAGAGAAAGTTTGTATCTTACAAATTTCTTACTACACTTTTTCTTTTCCTGCTCACATTACAAACATAGCACTCACACTGTGATCCTAAATTACTTGCTTGTGTAACATATTTTAGTAACAACAGCAAGCATAAATTAGTGGGTAACAAATGTTGTCATTCTCTCATTCGTAAGTTAGTAAACATGAAATTCAATTCAAAAATGTGAACTGATGTGTTAAAGGCACATAGAAATAAACAGTAAATAGTCATTTCAGTCAAAAATATTATGTCCAAATTAAAATTCTTATATAGAGAACACAATAATTTATTTCCTTATTTAACTTTTTAGTTGGTAATTCTGATAAGTATGGGTGATAGCGAATCCATCTTCAGTCACTGCATGTAGACTCTCTCCCTGAGAACACCAGTATTAACTTTTACTGAGGTCCCATGCTGGTGGCAAAATGCACACACTTCCCGCACACAATTACTTGAGAAAAATTTGCAGCCATGGTGGAAGAATGCACACACAAGAAAACCTGGTAAGTTACTCTATGCTGAAGAATAAAAGGCAATTTGTTGTGTTGGTACATACCACAGCAGGTAAGCAATGAACACAACACTTTTCACTGGACTTGTGTCACATCAACACAAACCACTTTCCTCCCACGAAGAAAAACTTCTGTAAAAACTGTATACCATGTACTACATGCATATCAGTCAAACAACTCATGTTCCACACATGCGATTTTAGCTGCAATGTGTCACTAAAGCCATTCCTAGCCTAAAGTGTGACAGCTAGAATGTACAAAAAGACAAGACAGATTTGTCATACGTGTATAGTAGTGGTAAGCGACAAATTCTGCAGCCTCACACACTGGATGAACACTGTTCTTCTGTTGTAGAAATCTGCACTGGTGTTCTATAAGTAAGGGGAACTATTTTTAGAGCTTATAAGCACTTCCCCACCACACCAATACAAGGTAGATCTACTGATTCTGACAGAACTGACAGAAACATCAGTTGGTTGCTGGTAACATATTTGGTGGAACTTCAGAATATTCCCAAAGGAATTACAGCATGCAGCCTGAAAGAACGAACTCTGCAAGCAGCTAAACGCAGCAGAAGCTTCAGGTAAAGTGCTTCTTGGGATGAAGGCCAGCCCTATCATATCCAAACTACACTTTGGAGAAAAAGACAGGAGTTGATTTTTCATAAGGGGAGAGACAGTTACCTGTAAACAGCAGCTTTCCTAAAAAGACAGACGAAGTGTTTTTGTCGTAAGAAATACAGAATCTACCATTCCCCTGGATTTCTCAGTCTATTTTTAATGAAGCAGAAGAGTACTAATAGAAGCAAATGGATCCAGCTTACGATGCACTAAAGGAACACAAATTTCAAAGCAGTATATCCATAATTGAGAATTCTGCCGTATCAATCCAACTTACTCAGCACTTTTCTTCTTACTTTTTTGCTCCAAAATTAATATAATAAACGTAAGAAGTACCATGACAACAAGCAGAAACTCAAATATTTTTCAAAGGGAAGGAAGCCAAAAGAGAAAAAACAAAGGAATATAATATGCTGAAGTCTATGCCTCAAGATTAAAGTTATCTGACACTTTTTGCCCCAAAAGCCCTTAGTAGAGTCACTTTTATGGAAGAAAAAAGAATATTCCTTCTTTTGGTAGTGAAAAATTTGATCAACATATTCTAGCAATGAAGAAAACCTTAATTAAATAACAGCAACAGTAATGTTAAGAGTAGTACCAATTAAACTGCCTCATTCTCTTACAGTTTCCCTATTAAGTTGAACAGACTGTACACAGAATGCAAAACACAGATGGGAAAGAGCTGACAGGGAGGAAAAAAAAGGATTTAAAAAAAAAAAAGACTAAAAACTCCTAGGGGATCCCAAGACAAGAAAGCTTTTTCAGAATGCAGTTCCACAGCACTTTAAGCCAAACTAAATTGGCACTGCCAATGACCCAGTATTCTCCCCATAACAAACACACAGACTCCTTAGCATCAGAACTGCCATTCAGATGACTGTATCGTAAGTCAGTTCACAACGCTAATCCACCAAAAAACCCACCAAACTTTGCAAATGAAAGTCACATTTTGTTGGCAAGATATGTTCTGCAAACCAAGGCATGAGTGCCTTGTCAACACAAATAGGAAAAAAAGGACTATCAGAATACTAATTTAGAGTAACTTCAGGTTCTGTAAAACCCCATTTAGTGTGCCTCATGGTATTTTTAGAGATGAAACCTGAAAAACACCTTTCTATGTTCCAACTAATGAAAGTATAACAGTCCTTCCCAAACAGCTAACATAATACCCAGTAAAGAATTCTAGCAAAATCAGAATGTATGGTACTTATTTGAATATAATAAAAAAACCCAAAAAAGTCCATTTTCCAGGCTGTCTTAAGACATGTTCTCTGCTTTACACAGTATGTTCTCTGTCAAGTCAACTTCTTGCTGGCATAGCATTTTGAATTATTCTCCTCCTCTTCCTTAAGTAAAAGGAACAGCAGCACAAACAGGAAGGCAAGTGTCTGTATCTCTATGGAGCCGGACATCAGAATAAAATCTTCAGAGTTAGATGAAACAGTGATTTCATTATTATTAATGAAAAAGTCTTTCAGAACACCAGGATGAAGGTACCCCTTCGTGAATAACCACATCTTTCTGTAATTTCAAGAGAAAAAGATTTTTTTTTTTTTTTTTTTAAAAACAAAGTGGTGGAAGAGAGGGTAAGAGGCAAGACTACATTTAAGGATTTCAGTATCTATCATATTCAAAACCAACAAGACAACAAAATCTTGCCTACAAGGCAGCTAACAAAATACTGCAGTGGTATCTGCTTCTTAAGTTGCAGACTCTCATTTGCTGTATACTCTGGAAATTCCTGGGACACCAGGAAGGACAAGCTAGACCACCTTCACTGGTACCATTAAATTCCTCACCCCCAACACTAAATACCAGTATTCAACAACAAAATAACAAAAAAGATGAGTGTTCAGAAAAACCTATAAAATCAATACAGCTTATTTCCTCTCCTGTTTTTTTCAGGAACAAATTGAAGCATAAAGAGAACAGTAAAAACATGAAGCATTGATTGTTCTATAATTGCTTTAATAGAGTATAAGGATTGTTATTGCTATTGACAATTAATCAGCCTTGACAACCACTGACATATTTAGAATAGATATCAAGGAAGATCTCCTCCTGAAGCCTGCTATCCACCTGGCTGAAGATATGAAAACTTTTGAAATCTTAAACTTCTCGTAAAATAGATGGGTGTTACATTACAAGTTTCAAAGCAAGATAACAAAACTCAAAAATCACTGCAGAGGAAAACCAAGAGAGTTGCAGTTTCTTAACCCTGCAGGTAAACCTTTTGCTGTACAAGAATAATGTTTCATCACCATTCACACAGAAGATCCAAACCAAAGATGACCAAAAGGACGCTTAGCATGTATCACAGAATAGAATGCTAATTCCCAACAGACTGCTGGAAAATTATTTGAACTATTGTTAGGAGTAAACAGGAAACTCCATATTTGTTCTTCTCCTGTTGTGAAGGAAAACAACAAAAGAATTCACATGACAAAAAAACATCTGGTTAACTGTCTCAAGAAAATAAGTCAAAAACCATTCACTATAAAAGACACCTTTGTAAAACCGCTGTAGTTTTCTTTTAGCCAAGAGAGGTTACAACTTGAAAGCAGGAAAAAAACTGTCTTGAAGAAGAGAAAAAAATTAAAACTTGTGTGTAAGTCAAAAAAAACCAACCCACAAGCAACAAACAAGAACATAACCACTTACATAGCACATTTGTGGGAGACTGTTGCTTGACCAGATGTTCAAAATCCAGCTAAAAAAAAAAAACTGATTTCCAAAATTAAAGATTAGAGACAGCAATATAAGAGAACTGTCACCATGATGCTCCATTCTGAAATTTCAGGACATATATCCATAGGGTTCTATATTTATTTTGGTGACAGTCATATAAAATGTAGAAACAAAGATAAGAAAAGAGTAAGTTGCCTAAAGCTGCCCTTTTAAAATGAAGCATGTTTTCAAGTACAGCTTACATTGACATATTTCAAATTAGGAAGTGTGTATACATTTCATCGAAAGATTTATGAAGAGCTTATTCTACACCATTTCACCTGGTGGCTGAAGTAACTTTTTAGTTTCACGAATGGTGGCGTTCAGACAGAAGTTTTTGATGCCACATGCTCAAAGCATTCTCTCCTGCACAATCACTGTGTTTCCTCCTCTGGAGCGTGATTTACACATTACAGACAGTATTAAAAATATACTGTCTTGAAGCAGATGACTCTTAGACACAGACAATTCCAAAATGAAGTTTTGGAAGTTCACATTCTGTTAAGTTGAATGACCTGTTTTGTCTACTTGCGGGAAATGGATGAAACCTTTCCATTTCCAGAGATCTCCATAATAGCTTATTTTTCTAGTATCACATTCCATCAAAAGCCTACCCGGAAAAATGATGGTAAAGTTCAAAACCAGTGATGGACATCTGAACACCTTCTTCGCAACTTTTTCAAGCCATTTCTTACAGATTTCTAGTTGTGTTATTGCAAGTGAAAGTATCATGACTCAAGCTGCAATGTCAAGTAAACTCACCATAGGAAAGAATTTGAGCATGTCATAGTTAAACAGAGAACAAAGGTTTTTTGTCACTGTGTTGTATACAAAAATTATTCTAGTCTGTCTGTACTTGGTCCAGAAATCCAGTTATATCTCAAAACTGCCAACAAATCAAAAGAAGGCTAGGGAAAATAAAAAAATTAATAATAAAGAATAGGGGAAAAAACCACACCCTCATTCTGGGGGGAGGAAAAAAAAAAAAAAATTCTTCTAGTCAGGCCTTCTAAAGTACAGACAGCCATGTAAACTATCATTTGAAAGATAGCTTTTATATTATTGTCTTCTTAACATTTTTAAAAACAGATAAACCTGTTTCACAAGGTAAGTATAAATGTGCTATTTTGGACAGGATGAAGAGGATAGGGACTGTTTTGAAATTTGTTCTTAATTCCCTCCAATTTCATGCCTTTAGAGCAAATTCAAATGTTTTCTTACAGAGTATTCAGTCACCTGAGGGTTGTGAGGAATGTTCATTATTAGACTCATCTTCTGTCATTGAAATTGCCATGGCAATTGTTGAAGCAGCAATGGAAATCATCTGACCAGGAAGCTCTGCCCCTGTAAAATATATATGTGTATGTAAATAAAAAAAAGCTTAAGTCTTAAAACATTTTATTTGTTGCTTGATACCCACCAAAGCTGTCAAGTAACAGTATGGATAGACACTGTTAATTTTTCATATGTATTACATATAGTCAATATGATCAAACAGGAGTAAGTGCTATTAATTCTAGTATTACACTACACCTGGAGCCAAAACACAAAACCAGTTACTTGCTTAGCACTTTCCTTGCTAACAAACTGTTACCAACCAAGTCATTCGTAGCTGCTGGCAATCTGATTAATCTAAAAATCTCTATACCAGATAATTGATTTTACTAACCAAGATTACGACCACTTTCAAGAAAACTAAAACAAGATGACAGGAAAAAAGTTTCCTAAAATAATCATACGGCTAGTACTAGAAAGGAACACCTCACATTTGCTTTCATGCAAAATTGACTCACAACAGGCAAAACCTATTTTTCTCAAGGTCTAAACACAAACCATAATTTTAAGAAACTGGTATTTTAAAAATGAGTAACTGGATGTAAGAAACTTGCTGCATGGAGTTGTCTCACTTTCTCTCATACTTAATATTATAGGAGCTACTAAACCCATATTGCTCATTTCTTTCAAAATTAGCCTCCGATTTCAAATTTCCTGGGCTTTCTTTATGCTTACATAAAGGAAACTACATACAGGATTCTGTAAACTTAAGCAATCGGGCTTGATAATGGGAGTCACTACTTTGCTATGGAAAACAAATATCAGTCCATTGCAAAGATTTTCTGCAAAGAATCAAAGATTCACTTCAGCATGCGTGAACCACTTTGAAACAAACATACTAAGTATCTTATAGTAAATTCTTGCAATCTGTATGATACTGAACTTACAGTAATACGGACCAGATTCTTTCACTTGACTTTACAGAACTTTTGCCTCCAACAATAAAAGAAATAGTGACTCGTTTCTTACCAGAAGACTTCTTTCCATTCTGCTGTTCATGCAACATGCCTACAGTCATCAGAACAACTATAACCAGAAACACAGGAATTTTCCAGGAACCTGCCACAGAAGCTGAAAGAGACAGGGTTTTTTTTATAAAAAAAATTACGCCATTAATAAACTCTACATTTAGCAAAACCAAGAAAGGCACCACATCAACCAAGAACAATCTGGACAGACACTAAAAGTGTCATAAACCAAACAAGTTTTCTACATTCATGGAAAGGAAGAATAGAAAAAACAGGTGAACAGGTTTCTCAATGAATAAACCAAGCTGTTACTGTTCCTAACTTCAGTGACTTTAAACTATGCTGATATACTTTAGAGAACAATTTTTAAAACATGCAAAATTACATGAAAATACATGCAAAATGGAACATTTTAGGTATCAGAGGCAAATCAAGCTCCCCCCCCAAAAATCTATATTTATGTTAGGTCTCCACAGAGTAGCATCAAGCAGCGCCTTCCTGGGGTTTGGCTTTCAGCTAGTACTTCCAACAAATACAAGACTGTCAAAATGTAAGCAAATGCAAAGCCATTATGTGTATTTTATAACCACAGGAAAGTGTCCCCACATGGTCAGAATCTTGAAACCTGCTGCTAAAGCAAAGTAAATCATGAAGTACACTGTGAAACCTTCCATCATGATAGTCTTCTATTATTTGCATGATACTTCCACCATAAACTCTGATATGATAATATAATCTGATAGTCTGTTATATTAAATATGTAAAATAAAACTAATACTAATAGACTACTATAATCTTATATTTGTATTAACAGATTATATAGATTACTGGCAAATTTATTTGATATTATCGGTATCATATCGACATGCTTGTTGACTACTGATAGAATTTTTTTTTTTGTTTCTATTACTACTACTAAATGCATTTTACAGCTTCAGCCTTGGTTAATGGCAGACTCTCAAGAAAATAATAATACAAAAACCATCACAAGTGAAAGTCTAAATCCACCCACAGCCCTTCCTCACTGTCAGGGAGTCACTACCAGGTCTGTGAGCCAAGGGAAAACCATGGGAAGTACAAACTGGGCAGGAGTAGTGGAAGACACGTGTTGCTCAGCATCTTGATACCTTCCCATTCCCCACTCCAACGCTCCCTGCTGGCCACATGCAGCCAGAATTACGGAGCAGAGAAAACAGCCTGCATCTCAGCTAAGACTCCATTATAAAGATTTAGCGGAAGAACAAGTGAGTAGCTTTGTTTGCAAGACAACAGGATCCCAGCAGACACATTAGAATAACAACTTCTTGTTACTCACCTAAGTGAAAGAGCAGCATAATCCAGACAGGGACAGAGATTGCTTTCAAGTAACGTTCAGTGCTTATATTCCACTTGAATGAAACCATCAGCAGGTAACCAACTACCAACGTCCATATCTTTAAGAAAGAGATACACACAGATATGTATACATACACGAGTACAACACAGCTATATTTTGATGTGTGTGCAAACATACACATGCACGCACCCCTAACTGCCATATCGAAAGAACTGAAGTCAGGTTCTAATTCTTTAAGAAGCCTACATTTCAGAACTGTCAATGAATTACAGGAGTCTTTGCTCCATGTAAGAGAAACGTAAAGTTTGTGCGAAGTGTAAGGACAGGCCAGACACGCCTTTGGCCTGCGTTCAGTATGGTTCTAATGTGAGGGGGTTTACACGCTTTGCTGGACACAAATCCTGAAGGAAGATGTTTTTGCAGCTGAGACTAAGCAATTACTCTGGAACTACCACTGAAAGGTGAGAACCTAAATGAAACAGGGCCACCGGTAGGGCCACCGGGAGATGGAGCCAGCAGAGCACCACTCATTCCAGCACAGAGCCGCTTGCCAGCTTCTGTGATCCAGTCCAAAGAGACAAAGGGGGTTTTAAGCCAAAGATAGCCATTAGGAAGCAAAACAAAAACTGCTGTGCCTCAGCAGTGTTGGTCCACAAAACAGTCATGCCTTTAAATGACTTATGACATGAAATTTTATCAAATATTTAACTAAAAACACTAAAGAGACAGAAAAATGTCTGTGACAATGTATCAAGAGGCAAATGTGGTCATTTTGGGTTTGCTGCTTCTAACTGCCTTCTACAACTCTGCTCATCGGATAAATCACAATAGAGAATTCTAGTCAAGAATCTTGAGATGAAGCATTTGAGCTTGAAAATGCTAAAAGGAAGAAAGCAGAAACCAGAAGAGGCAACAAGAGGTGAAAAGCTGCTACTCAGCAGAATACGTGAAATAAAAGAGGTATGAAAACCTGTAAAAATAAAAACTCAGTGTTGCATTCTTAAAAAAAAATTAAAAAAAAAAAAAAATCTGACATTTCTGGCCCAAAGTCAACAAAGTTAAGGACACTTCCAAATTTACACTGATAAATCCATAAATCCTAACAAAGTTTAAACAGAACTTCTATTAACACTGTAAGAAGTAAGAATGCACTGGCAGAGACACAAAACAATCAATTAGAACATACCAACAGAGCTTTCGTCTCTTTACTCTGCACTGTATGACTCACGCTGAAGAGGCAATAGTCCCTGTGAAAAGTAGGTTTGTGTGACTACGCCCATGTACCTAACCGTTGTAGAGGAAATCTTAATTGGACTGAATTCAGCAGGCAAGTAGTGATGGACCCCGTTAACTTCAGAGGGAACACTCATACACACAAGCTAATTTAAAATCGCTTAAAAAAATGTGAACAAATGTACACCCTTTTCATTCTAATTTTTCTCATCAAAGCTGATCAGCCCAACTTTTCACTGCTATCTATCTCTAGTTTTGCATCAACAGAGCTGCATAATGCTTATGGCCAAATGTGGACTCAAGACAAATGTCTTAAAACTAACATAACTCTTAGACATTAAGGCTAAAGTAATAAACAAAACAAAAAAATAAAAATTTGATATGACATGCATGGCAGCACTCCTTTAACAGTATAGGTTCGTAACATAAATTCACTTGCAAGGCATATTACAGCACAACTGTAATTTCAAGAGATAAGTCAGCATGAAGATGGTATCCTACTCCCTAACATCAGCCACACAGCATCTTTGTATGATAAGTCTGCCTTGATGCTGGAATTTTTTCTCTTTAACTTTTAAATTTAACGATAAATTACAAATAGGAGACTGAGTAAGTTCAAGGAATTAAACTTTCTGATTAAAAATATGCCAAAAGTAGGAAGCCAACAGGGCATAAGCCTATGTTTAACAGCCAACAAAGCAAAACATGTTGCATTGCTTCTAGCCGTGCATGTAGCTGAACTAAAAGCTAGCACTTCAGAGTTTAGGATTCAATAATTTTTTGTGTTCTAAGTTACAATAATTCACCAATTCTTATTTCTAAAAGCTTAGCAAATAACCCAAGTAAAAGTATTTCTTATTTCTATTGAATGGAGAGAAATAGCTTATTTTAAAATAAACAAGTAATCTTGTTTTGGAGATCAAACAATAACAATTCTGAAGCCCTGTAAAAAACCTATGTAGTCAATTGACTGGTGCAAGAGGTTTAATTTTAATGACACCATGGAGTAATCAGTTCCTTATCAGTTAATGTTACAGCCATGCACTTCCCTACGCTGCAAGAAATACACTGCATGGGAACTAGGGTAGCCTACTTCTCTAACTTGGGTAGCCTACTTCCAACAATTCACAGCTGAAAGCGACTGACAAAGCAAATTAACTTAAAATGACATGGACTAGGATTTCATCCCATACTAACTTGGCAACAGCCTGCTTTTTTTTTTCCCCCTTAACTCTTTAAATGCATGTTATGTAACATTTCCCACTGTTTTCTGCATGGTCTCCAAAGGTTTTGGCTAAAAGAGCGTGAGGATATTAATAGCCTCTTTACTGTTACATGTCCATCTCAACAACTGACACCATTGAAATGAAGAATTAAAGATACTGCCTACTTTCATTAAAATTAAGCTACTGAAACTATTGCACTGATACTAGAACGGATACAAATTCCATGCTAAACCAAAATGCCTATAAATTTGATTTATAAGGGTATACAGCTAACCAGGTAACTAATACACACACTTCAGATATTGCAGAATGCATTAGCTACCATAAACTACTTATTTATCAAGCTGAAGTCAGTTGCAGATGCCTAACTTTCATCACGTACTTCAAGATTTTAAAAGCCTATTCAGTCACAATTAATATCTACAGACATGCACAACTCCCATATATCAGAATTTTAGGATGGTTCAATCCTGTAAGCTTTCCTCCTTCCTCCCTCCCTCACTTATCTTGATTGTCTGAACAGACAGCAAAAACCTCATTTCTTGCATATCCTTTGCATTTTGTAGCACTCCTCACAAACTGAACAAAACACTGTTTTGCCTTTAGACATACAAAAGTAAAATTGCCTGCTTCCCAGAATAAACAGCTGTAAGACTGCAGCACAACTTCTTGGATTTCAGCATCCACTTTTGAGTTACAGTGGTAAATTTAAAAGGTCAGATTTAGAGACATTTAGGCAAGTCTGAAGGGCTTCAGTTCTCTTTAAATTGCCAATTGGAAGCAAAATTACACTACAGAAAGACGCAGCTTTTATGTTAAGCTCGAGCATCTGCTTCAACATTTTGATTTTTCTTTTAAATTTCAGTGTTGGAAAGTCTAGGATTTATCAGCATGACCATATCACCAATGTTACTGAAAATCTGTTTCCAGTTCCAGTTAAAGTTGAGAGAATTTGAAAATCTGAGACACTCTTTTGGCTTTGGCATCATTTTTCAATGAGAACGAACTCTTTCTTACTATTCAACTCTTGACAACATTTATATTGATTTATATTGAAGCGCAAAATTTTTTATTTACACAGTTCACTCCCTTTTTTCCCCTATCACCAAGTTAATCTCTAAGGGAGAGGTTTTACAGATGAGCTCATTTAATAGCTCACTCCTACTGAAAGCGGCAGTTCATTCTTTCCCACTGCCAGTCACGCAGCCCCACCTCTTCTGCACACCAGCATCGATGTTCATCCAGCCAGCTCAAGCTCCCTAAGCTGATAAAAAACTCTCCGGAAAAAAACCCAAGAGTTTATAATCTAATTCCGTTATAGCTAAACAGGCTCACAGAGCTAAGACAGGCACTGACAACAGGGCAACTGAAGCATGTGTCAGAAGTGGGATAAGCAAGAACAGCTCCTCACTGCCAGCACAGCTGTCGGAACGACTCAGCCTTCCTCACAACGTTGCCCCAACAACTCAACATCCAGCAGTGAACACATTTCCTACCTGCTTCATGTAAACCACCCACGGTAAATACAACAGTGAAGACTGAGTAGAATAGCCAAAAGTTACTTCTTTTGATATACGCCCTGCCAGCCTTCTAAAAGTTTCCAGTTTTTAACAAGTCAGTTCCTACCAAATGGCATGTTTGAACTCTCATTTTCTATTTGTAGCTCTACCCTCTCCCTTTGCCATTTCAAAGTGTTGGTTTTTTTCCAGGCTGTTCTTTTCTACTTGGAAATTATACAGCAAAGTTTTTTAGGGTTTGTTTTGGTTTGGGTTTTTTTAACTTCGTATTTAAATTTAAAGCTGTTTGATAAAACTATGAAAAATAGGAAACTGTTTGAATTGGAACCAGTTTGTTTCAGGGTTAGGACAAAAAAAAAAATCCTAACTATCTCACCACTTCCCTTTAACATTTAAAAATAAAATTTTCATTTGGAAATAGAGATTTTCATTAGTTTTTCTTAAAATAGGAAATCCTTAAAACATTGACCAAACACTTACATGGCACTTTTGCAAACTTTTAAAACAGTGCTGCACTGAGCGAGGCTGGCTGAAGAAGTGATCTTATGACAGCAGTTCATTATTCCTACCTCTTCCTTCTCAGTGGCCATGCAGGCTGGCGAAGGAAAATGAACCTACCACAAAAGCTGAGCAGAATAGTGTTGGACTTGAAAAATGAAGCAACTTAAAGCATTAAATGAATCGCTAAAAGCCAAACTGTGTTTGCCATTATGAACATCACAATGTTTTCTTTATCTGTCTGTTCATTTGAAAGTGGTTTTCTAAACAATAGATAATAAGGAGGCAGGTGAGGAATTACGAAAATGTCATTTCGATTCCAGTTTTCAGAATCAGAATTAATTCCATGTGGCTTTACTGTATTTTCCACAGTACACAAGAGGAAATATCCTACAATGTGCAGATTTTGGCAGAATGAAGAAAGTGTAATTGCCCTTCATTTAGCATGGAGACAGTCTTCGCCAAATAGATACAAAACCAAAATAACCCAAAACCAACTAATCACACATATAATACTATTGCCCACCTCAGAGCAAACTCAACCCTTCCCTTCACTAAGGAAGCCGTCACTTACCTAAGCAGGTAAATGACATCCTGATTTTTTTTTCCTAGGTGAACACAAG